GAGGACCTTAGTAGGTAGCTAGTACAGTGGTAGAGATTATTTTTGGGGTTTCGTAAGGGGTTTGCAGGCAGCAATTCACAATTGGGTTAAAGACTTTATACTTATTTATATATGAAGTTGCGGAGATTCCGACACAGGATCCTCGAACCCGAGTCGAGAGGGAACAATTTACACACAATATTGTATCCCCTCGCCTCGGGGGCATTATATTTGTTTAACACCCCATTCAACACCACAAGATTACTCAACAGGCAAACATTTTCAACTCATTGGTAACGTCCATCTCCGATAGGATTGGGCCCAGTGGATCGAGAGATACAAAACTCCTGAAGCGGCTCATGTTAAATCCCTTTCGGATTCAAACCAGGGCCTTCCAAATCATAGCTTTCTATGATATTAGCCGAACGGACGGCTCACTCTCCCTCTCAAGATCTCAGGGTTTTAAAAAAAAATGACATCATCAATAAATCAAGGGCTTGTTCGAAGTGAATGCTTCAACATACATTTTGTACTTTGGTCAAAGAATGAACGGAGAAAAGCCTTCTACTTAAAATATTGTTTATTTCATTTCATTTCATTTTTATTCTATTTTATTTTATTTTATTTTATTGGGGTTATCTTGAGAGTTTCCCCCCACCTGATTCACTTTCGACTTGACCAGATCCAATCAAACTGAGTGTTCTGTTACACTGCATAATTTCTTGTGTTAAAAACTTTACAAAAGTACTCTTGTGTCAAGCTTGATTTGATTGGTTGAGAATGTTTTACGCCCCGATCATTACAGGCAAAACTGACGACAAACGAGACACGGGAGACCCAAAGCAACCTGACTGGGGAGCCTTAACAGATGGGAGACAGGGATGTAGACGATATAGCTGTTTGAAGAGCATCATAACAAAGAAATGAATGGATAACCATGATCGCCGATGTCTTTCGCAGATCTGGCGCTTGATGATGATGATGATGATGATGATGATGATGATGATGCTGATGATGATGATGATGATGATGATGATGATGATGACGATGATGATCACAATGGAAATTATTCATAAGGTGGTGGGGGGGGGGGGGGGTGAACTTCTTCGACCCTTATCTGTCAGAGGTGGTACGTCATTATAATATAGCTATTGCGCCCTTTTCAGTTCGGTTATTTAAGAGGCAGGACTTCCGAATGTAACGACAATCTCCAAAAGGATCATGCCATAATATGGGTGGGGAAAATTTAAAACTCCTCAAACAACATAAGTTAAGAATGCGTCACCGGGGGATTCGAACAAGGATGTTCTGCTCCGTAGTTGATGCCAACTGAGCTACCGGTGCGCTCCTAACGTTGTCGAAGAATGGAGAAATACTTCCTCAAAACGGGAAGGGAACTAATATTTTTTTGTGTATCGTGCATCAGTGGAGACCCTATCATTCACTCTAAAAACATAAGTTGCAGATAAAGTGCACAGTTTAATTTTGTTTTAGGTTGGTGTTTCAAGCTCCCAACAATAAGCTATAATTTAGATGGCTCAGGAGGAAGACTTCGACCCAGCCTGTAAGAGCCTACCGAGGCTGAGAAGGATACATCGTCACAGCAGAAGACCGAGATTCAACGTATTGGATAACAATTTTCCGACCACGAGATTCACACCCAGGTCCTCCGGGTGCGAAGGCGAAGGGCTGGTAAAGTACTTAAGTACATACATCGTGACATTTATTTGAAACACCAAAGAAAACCTCGTAGATCCGACATAAATGTTAGAGGTCGTCACCCTAAGAAAAATTCAATTTAAAGTGGCATTGTTAACTCGATGCACCTAAAGTTGACCTCTTTTCGTCCTCCAATTTTTTAGGACAAATGTTCATTGAATTCCTGTAATAGAGCCTGCCAGGTGTTTCGTATCGATATTTTGTTCAGGATTTTAAAAACTGTTTATACCACCCATTCTGGTAGCGGATGGTTGGAGAGCGCCAGTCTTAATTCATTTCTTTCCATCTGTTGTTTCTGTCTGTCTTGGCTCTTCCCTGCACCAAATGACCGTCATTGCGTCGATGTGCTTCTCTTTATTCAAACTCAAACTCAAACTAATTTCCGGATGAGAAAATAGTTTTTCCCGTTCTCGAGGGTTGTGTGTATGTGTGTGTGTGTGTGTATGTGTGTGTGTGTGTGTGTGTGTGTGTGTTTGAGTGTATGTATGTATGTGTGTATGTATGTATGTGTGTA